CCAGCCACTTCTCTTCCCTCCAGCCCGGCTGCCCTGCGCTCAGCCCAGGGAGGCTGCATCTAGCTCCAGCTGTGCTGGAGCAAGCTTCCCAGGCTGAGTGCAGGATCACAGATGCCCATCTGATGGACTGTATACGACCAGCAATCTCAGACTACAACCCAGACTTCAAGACACTGGCAGATACTGTTCAGCCACAGGTGTCGCACTGAGACTTTGTTATTGGAAGAAAAAATATATAATTATCAATACTTGATTTACAAAATAAGTATATAAAAATATATAATTATCAATACAAGATTTACAAAATAGCAGAGAACAAAATGTATAGTTGTAAATGCTTCATTTGACATTTAAATAGCATGAATTAAAAACAGACCATTTATTTCATAACTATAAACATGTTATTTTAATTTTATATATTGCATAATTTAAAAATAAACTGCTTAACAGAGTGTATAAGGGCTAGAGATAGCAAATGATGGACAGGAGAATAGAGAGGGCGGGGCTTCAAGGAAGGGGCGGGGCGGTAGATCTTCTCCTGTTCTGAGACTTAAAAAGTGATCTTGGGTGTAAAAAGGTTGGAGACCACTGCTCTAATATATATACAGGCCTGTATGCTGGGAGGTGCAAAGAGTGCACATGCACCCTCCCATAGTCTCCCAAGTAAGCATGAGGGGGCTCTGTTAGGGCAGTGAGTCTGTGGCTTGAGCTCAGCCCCCCTTCTTTCCCCTGCAGCGGAGAGCCCATGCTGGTGTTCCAGCCTGGCCCTCCCTTCCCTCTTTCCCCCGCTGCTGCCATTGGCCAGAATCTGGCCAATGGAAACAGTGCGAGGTGGTACCTAGGAGCAGTGCAGAGTGTGAAGGCAAGTAAGTACCCCTCACCCCCTCATGTCCTGCCCTCGCATTCCCAGCCCCTCATGCACCACCCCACCAAGACCCTGCACTCCCAGCCTGCTCCTGGCTCCCTCTCCCCTGTCCACATACCTACCCACACCCTGCTTCTGCTCCCTCCCCACTGGCCAGACACCCTCCCCCCTGTCCAGACACCTGCCCACAGCCTGCTTCTGCACTCTTCCCACAGCCAGACACCCTACCCCCAACTAGATACCTATCCCCAGTCTGCTCCTGAAGACACCCTACCCTGAGCCTGCTCCTGCACCCTCCTTTGCTCTTGCCCCATCCTCCTGGCCAGACACCCTACTCCCAGCCTGCTTCTGCATCCTATCTCCCGTCCATACCTTTCACCTTCACCCCCTCCAGCACTCTACCTCCCACCCAAATCCTGCATTTCCATTCCTCTTGCTGGCAGCCCTGTCCTGCACACTAAGCCCCCCATTTCTGTCTCAAAGCCAGAGCCTAGGGTGTCCACAAAATCCACTAACTCTGTAACCCCAGAAGATTAAATCCTGGCCTATGGGAAGCCCTGAACCTCAGTCCTCCCTGTTCCTGTACCTCCCCGGTGGGTTTGGAGTGCCAGAGGAGTGAGTGTCTCACTTGGGGGCAACATCAGTGAGGATTGGGGGGGTTTTTTTTGCTTCTCATTTGTGTGGTCCCCAACGGATTTTTTGTTGGTCAGTGGCCCCAGACCCAAAAAAGGTTCCCCGCCCCTGCCATAAATAAAGAAAACATGGGGACCTTTTGTATTGGACATCAATTAATATTTCACTTTATTTAAAATGAAGTTTGATAGACTAACATAAGAAAGTTGAAGCAGTTAATCTGTTTAGTAATTTAAATTAATATTTCCTTTCTTACTGGTTAAATTAAACCATTCTCCCCAGCTGCAGCGAGTTTCCATTCGCAACTGGTGGTCCCCGGAAAGGTTCCATTGAGCCAGGTGGACCACGGGCCAAAACATTTTAAAACCACTTTATTAGGGGGATAGGAGAGTGCAGTGTTGTGGGGGCAAGTGGGACTGGTGCAGTGCAGCAGGGCCAGGAGAATGGTGCTCCGCACCCACAAGGAGCAGCACATGCCCGACCCCTATCTGGAAGCCAACTGGTGCAGTGCAGCAGGGCCAGGAGAATGGTGCTCTGCACCCACAAGGAGCAGCACAGGCCTGACCCCTATCTGGAAGCCCTGACCACACTCACTCAGTGCTGGCCTCACCAAGCAGGGAGATCTGCAGGCAGACACACCCAAGGGGGGGCATGGCAGCTGTGTTGCCCACCATGATCCGAAAAGGTAATTTCTATAAAACCTTTATTACTGTATATATTTTTAGTATGTTATAACAAAATCATTTTACCAGTCACTGTTTCCACTGAAAGTTTTCTTTAACCTCTCTTATGCACACTCATTGCATGACTATTTTGGAACTCCTTTACATTTAAAAAAATTGCGGTCCACATTTACAAAAAAAAGCACACCCCCACACTGAAATTTCTGTTTATGGGCCTGAAATATATAGCTGAGGGGGGCTATATAAAACCCTACCAGAACATTCAGTGGGACATACTTTTCCCCTGCGGAAAGGATGAGAGAAACACCACATGACTAATGCTAGTAATGTGTTACTGGAAGGCATTCAGATACTACAGTGATAAGTGCAGTATAAACATCTATGTAGAACAGAACAGACCTGCGGTCTGATTTTAGGCAAATCACTTCACCTCTTTATGGTGCTATTCCTGTAGTATGAGGATATAAACAGAAGCTTCAGGGGGTAGCCATGTTAGTCTGTACAGGTAAACTGAAAAAACATGGTTTGTTAATTCTATAAAGTGCTACCAGATAGAAACAGAGAGAGTCATGCTCTGAGCAGCAAATGGAGAATTCCCTAGTCAGAAAGTTCCCCTGCTTATTAGGATCCCTGCTGCTACACATTCTGGTCCTCTCTGTGGAGGACTAGGAACTCTATAAGATTACATCTTTAAACCAATGTGTATAGACACAGCAATTCAAACTTCAGTTCTTTAAAACTATTTATACTTCTAGGTCTCTCATCAATTGCATTTTAATAGTATTCTAAAGATCAGGTCTTTGAGGGGGTTTGATCAGTCCCCCAGATGTGTTTCTATTTCTGTTGAGTTTGTGCATGGAGTTCCCTGTAAAGGGGACACACTTCTTGACGGAGTACACTGGGTTGCAAAATATTGAAAACTAATCAAATTCCCCCCGGGGAATTCCTTTTGGAGTTTCCAGTAGTTAGGATGTGGGAGTTTGATGAGTTCAGAACAGTTCCAGATGTCTGGGAA